TATAAAAGGCTACGACGACGAAATCTACATAAGGATACGACGATCTCTCCAGAGCGGAGAGAGAAGAAGAAGAAGAAGAAGAAGAAGAGAGAGAGAGAGAGAGAGTAAGAGAAAAGGGGGCGTGATTATTTGCGAGAAATCCACGGCTGATCGTCGTCCTCGAAGGGCGCTTCTTCGGTCTCGGGGAAGGACGCTTACTTACTCCCTGATGAAAGGCACACCTGTTTACCTGCCGACAGCTGCGACCTGAAACAGAGCAATCTACCGAGAAAACTACGCGAGAGTCGCGAGGAGGTCATCATAGGTAGGAGGGAGATAATGATCGTAGGTGTTGCGCAGCAGACGTGTATTTTATTTGAGATATGACTTGACAGGCACGCGGGATCGATCGAGGTCACGGACCGGCGTCGCATCGCACAGTGGACGAAATTTGAAAGAAAAAAGGGCAATAAATCACTAATTAAAGAAATAATCAAAAACATAAGAACAAAAAACTAATTAACAAAAAACAATCGAAACACGTATTAAATATGTTTTAATTAAAAATAACAATGAATTCTGTAATTTTCTGTTACGCAATGTATATTTCAGAATAAGAATCACTAAAAATATTAAATAAATAAATAGATTTGAGCAACATATCTCGCAGAACCCCTGACACGGTGAAATTCTAAACTAATCAATCTTCTTTACTTTCTAAAAACCGTTCGAAGCAAGCTTTGAAATATGTATAAAACAACTGATTAGTACATTTTTCGACGTCACAACATTTAAACTAATATGAAATTTAATGACGCGACGATAACATATAAAAATCAGAGATTTCATGATTTTAGCGAAAAAGTACTCTTTTCCTCTTTTCTTTGTAACTTCGCCTACTGTGCGTCGTGTCATGCAAGCCTCAGTGCATGTCTATCTTGTGCTTGCAGAACAAGTGCCTCTTCAGGTTGCCTTTGAAGTTCGACTTGTAGTCGCAGACGGTGCAGTGAAAGTTGGGCGGCTTGCCGCACGCCATTTTCTGGTGGAGACGCAGACTCGACGGCCAGGCGAAGTGTCGTCCGCACCATTGGCACGTGAACTTGGTACCTGAAACAGAAATATTAGTCAGCGAGAAAACCCCTTCGTAATTGGCAGGGACCGGAGAATACCCCCATAATGCGAACGAGGACACCTTCCAGCGGGTTGCGGGTCTTTTTCTATCTGCGAGACACGCGGCGAGTGCGCGATAAGGAACGTCTCTGTTATGCCTTCACGCCTTCAATAGACTTTATCGTGGTCTCTACCGTCGTAAATTCACATTTGTTTGTGCTTTCAAAGTTCAACGGGTTCGCACATATTTTTTAACAAACACTATACATTCTCTGCTTTGTTTGTTGGATGTGCGGAGCGCTTCGTACTGCGAACCATGAGCAGGCGAAGATAATGAGATGAAAATCCAGATAACGGATAACTTAGAGAAGCACCGTACAACTACCTGTGATTATTGATGATTGAATCGTGCGAGTCTTCAAGGAGAATCAATTTGACGAGCTAATCCCATCGCGGACGATTCAAAGCCATACGAGTCTGCGATAAATGTAAGAAAAGCACTTTCGGGATTGCATCAAGTTGTTCGATAAATTTGTATAGAGATCATCTTCACGAACAATTCAAAGCCGATTCTTTTACAGTTAAGCGCAACTTTAATTTTTTTTGTTTTTTTTTCATGATAGGCGTCACGAAAAAAAAACAATCAATACATTAAAAATAACATAGTATAATAAATAATAAGGTTATGCTCAAAAGTAGCAACCTTGAATCCTTCGGAAGAAATCTTCACGAACTTATTAAACAATCCGATATTTGGTAATTTATTCGATCAAGGTGCAACGTCGCTGGGGTGAAGTTGGGATAAGTTTTATTCACATGAAGCGCGAATGTTTCTTCTCAACGATGACTTGTTGTTCAACTTCCGTTTGGAGCTACGTTGACTTTGCAAGATATCGTGCGCTCCACATCCGTAGCATCGATAAGTCCGTCCTGAAAATATCATCGTCAGGTATCGATTAGCGACAAGAATGATTTCGTAGTCGATCTCTTCGGTTCGCGCGGGAGCTTGCGGGGAAATTGAGCGAGAGACAATGATGACGCACTGTATCTGTGAACTCTTTTAATATTGCCGTTACCAAATGGTAAGGTTTACAAAGATTCGTAATAATAAATACGTCTGCAAGCAGCACTTCATGTTACCAATCCGCGATTGCTTTAACCAACAATAAAGATGCCAATAAACTACAACAAACATTTTCGTTCGAGGTCAAATACGAATGCGTATAAAGAACACGAGTGTGCAGTTAACAATTAGTGCGTACGTCGCCGGTTGACGACCAGGCCGGAGATTAGAGATGTCACTTGAGATTAATATGATGGATCTTGAGGATGTGCTTGTGCAAGCATCTCTTGTACCTGGTACGATGCGGGCAGTAAGGACAGCACTCCTGCGGATCCTTGCCGCACTCGATCTTCAGGTGGGTCTTCATGTTCCTCAGCCAGCGATAGCTATTGCCGCATCTTGGGCACGTAAAACAACCAGGTTCCTTGTCGAGGTTCAGTCTGTGGGGAGGATTAGAATTGTACACGGCCTTGGACCGTCTAGTGATCTGGTTTGGATGATACTGATACTGATACTGATCCGACCACGCTACTGCCCCTGCAAGAAGATAAAATGTAACAGTTAGTAAGTGACCACGGAGATTTCAAGACGAGCGAGTCTCAGAGAGTCCAACTCGTGGGAGCTTTCAATCGCGTTTATGTCGCGGCATTGGGAACATACCGTTCGTGGGTATGTTAATGACTCGTCCCTTATACCTGTCGTGAAACACTTAATTGGACGCCGAATGGTTTATTCTATTTCTCACGTTGTGATCGGACACGTTGCGGACTTGTGTGGGATATTATTCACATAAGCACGTGAAAAAGAATCGTTCCACTTTATATTTATTTATATAAATAACTTACGAAATACTTACAGTTGCATAAACAGTAATATTCAATGTAGTATATAAAAACAGGAAGTAAATGAAGACAAACGTTTCGCATTTTGCCGAAGCTTCAGTTCAATCGAGATAAAGAGAAGGTAAGATCAGTTTGAGATGAAACTCGGAAGAAAAAATCGCCGCCGCCGTATAATAAACACATCGTTCTACACAAACACGCTCTAATCCTAATGATCCTGATATCCTAATAAATTCTAAGAATCCTCATATAAAGACAACCCGACACCAAATATTTTGGTTCGCGTAGTTAACTGAAAGAATAATCAATAACTAATTAATTGCTCAAAGGGAAGAGCGGAATTGATTTAATGATACGTTATTTGCATGTGACAGAATTTCGCGTGAAATCGTGTATACAACACAGATCTCACAGTTGCGATTTGGCATCGAATCCTAGTTTCCTAGATTCGCGAATCATTCAAAATATACTACATAGCACAGGTTCACGCAATACTCTACATAGTTGTGCAAAGACAACAGCTGCGTTCAGTAAAAAATGAAGCTCCAGTGAACGCTTAAGTGATTATCGTCTGTGACTAGAGTGTTATTTTAGGTTCTTGATAGATCCAGAAGAATGTGTACCGATCAGAAGCAATAATCATTCAGCGCTCACTGAACTATTTTCTCTGATGAACGCAGATAATGGGCGCGTTCAGAAAAATATTTATTTTACAACTGTTGGAAATTTCCTATGTTGAGATTGAATTATTCCTCTTCAATAAACACATTATCCAAAATCGTCGTATAAAGCATCTTTAAGACGTGCCTTTAAGACGCTTTAAAACCATCTTAAAGACGTTTTATGCATCGATTTTGGACGTTGTGCTCACTGGATCTAAATCTAAAAGAATAATCCTTTTTCAGCCCTGAAAACTTCCACTAGTTGCAAAATAAATGTTTCGCTGAGCGTGGCCAATGCTTGCGTTCGGCAGGAAAAGCAACTTAGTAAGCGCTCTGCGATTATTTGGAAAAAAATTTTCTATATATAATTAGATACACACAAAATTATATATAATTATATAATTATATGTAATTATATTATACATAATTATATATAATTATATATAAGGCGTCATACATAGAATATGTCCATGTACAAAAATATATAATTATCAAGGTTGGGAAATAACGCGTTACTTGTAACGTCGTTATCGTTACTTTTCTTTAATGATGACTTACTAACGACGTTATATTTTCTCACTAATAACGGTATAACGTGTTATATTTTTGGATAACGATAACGAATATAATCATTACATTTATCGTTATTTTGCACACATACAATATATATGTATATAAAACGAGTAGAAGCGAATCCTAAAATAAAATCTTCAAAACTTGATGAAATTATAACGTTACTTCTCAAGTAATGATAATAGTAACAAGTTATTTTTCAAAAATAACCTTCTCAATTCTGATAATTATAAATAAAGTGGTAGCATAGTTATATATGATTATAAATAAATAAATATATATATATATATATTTATGTATTTATTTGTTTATTTATTTATTTATTTATAATATATATATATATATATAT